ACTGTAGATCAGCCTGCAGAAAGAACACATGGACTCGGTCAAAAAGTGTCTTATTTATAAGAACCTCCGTAACAAAGAGCTACTTAATTACTTACCAAAATAATGATATGAAGAGGAGAAGAACGATATAACCTAGTTTGAAAAGCCTCTGTTTCTTTTCCCAATCAAGCTGATTAAAAATCTCAGTCACATCAACAAGATGCTGCCTTCTCGTGTACCTAGAGCATGAAGCAACTATGAGAAATTTTGTTTAAGGAAACACATCAGCAGGAGAGGTTTGATATCTAGTTAAATCTCAATCACTGAATCAAGCACTAACAAGTTCAATGAATACAAGGATATGCGGCATTTTGAATGCATTTGAAAAGAAGGTAATGGAAGGATGAAAAAGGACTGCTTCAGTTTCAACTAGGACACAATGCAGATCCTTTAACCACTTAGAACTGGTAATATAAATATTATTTAGCAAACAAGTACCAGCTTTCCAGTGAACTATCATTGTTTTAACAAACAACGATTCATGCCAGCTAAGACTATCTTTCTGATCCACCCTAACAAAACTTCAACATAGTCTTTCCTCTAGTTTCAACTTTCATATGGCTAGATGCCCCATGGACTTCCTTTCATCATTAAGTTGAAAACAATAAAAAAAGATATACTGGCAATATTTTCAGCGATTTTACTATTTCTTTGGTCAATTTGTAAAAGGCTCAATGGAAATCTTTTTTTCCAGAGGGATAAATAAGGAAAAGAATTATTAAAAAAAACCAGCCATGCACTGGAAAACTTACTGGTATCTAAGTTGCTCCGACATGGCAGTTTAGGTGTCGTACCCGTGTCGGCACGACAATAGTATGGGTGTGGGTATGAGATCCGTATCGGATCTAGTCAAACAATTTTGGATACTTTGACCACATCAAACAGAAAAATTCGAAACGAGATACAATTTGATTCCCGAAATTAGAACTAAAACTAGGGTAAATCTAAAGAAAATAGCATCATACCACATCTAGGAAATCAATACTTTACTTATCTACAACTTGAGAATAAAGAAATTCACACTTTACAAGCTAAGTATTCCACAATATTTCTCATAATTTAGAGATATTTTTATATTTTTATTTTTTTGAATTATTTTTAGCCGGACCCCCCACCCGTATCCGTACTAGGATCTATATCCCCGAATCTTAGAATTTACAACTCGAAGGATCCGACCTCNCCCAGAAGAAAGTGCCTTGGTATTAAAACCTAGTATCTAAATGTTGATTGCCCTTATTTAAATTTTATGATAGATAAAGCTCAATCAAATCAATAAAATATGCAAATACAACCTTCAGTAGGTAGTACTAGTCCACAATATGGCTAGCAGATAGTATCAAAATGTTTATGCATCCTTATTTACTTCACTTAATAACTAAGTTGCTCCGACATGGCAGTTTAGGTGCCGCACCCGTGTCAACACAACACTAGTATGGGTGTGGGTATGAGATCGTACCGGATATGGCCAAACAACTTTGGGTACTTTAACTACAACGGACGGAAAAATTCGAAACGAGATACAATTTGATTCCTGAAATCAGAACCAAAACTAGGGTAAATTTGAAGAAAATAACGTACTTTATCTAGCAAGTCAATCCTTTACTTATCTACAACTTGAGAAGAAAAAATAAATCCACACTTTATAAACTATACATAAGTATTCCATAAAATTTCTCATAATTTAGAGATTTTTATTTTTTTTATTTTTTAAAATTATTTTTAGCCGGATCTCCGCACCCGTATCCGTAGTAGGATCCATATCCCCAAATCTTAGAATTTACATCTCGAAGGATCCGACCTCTACATCCGCACCCGTGTCGGACACCCGCACCCCTGTCAGAGCAACGTAGACTGGTATTATCTCTGAATTAATCTATTAAGTATGTGGTATCAGTAAAAACCCTCTATTTTCAGTAGACAACAAACAAATACCCCTCAATGGCAAACAAACTTGGGTTGGCTATATGACTTCTCTATATCCATTTCCCCTATTTGGGTCCATATCATTTCAATACACAGTAATTTTTGAACAAGGTTTTCCAAACCACACACCTGTTCCAGCATTGACAACAATTAACCAAACTAATAAGACTTCCATTAATACCAGACCTAATGCAAGTGTATCAACAACGACTAAGCTTTAACCTAAAAGAGTTGATATCACCTATATAGATCCATTATATTTTGTTCCAAGCTAAATTCGTATGAATTTCGAGCCATTGTAGGTCTTTCGAGTCACCCTCCCTCAATATTTTAGAACAACCTCATTCTTTTTACCACGTTCAATCATCATAATGCCACACCTATGGAACGATGAATTTAGTGGTTTATGTAGAATATGGTCAAACCATTTCATGTGACCTCACATTTTCACCTCTACGCATGCTGCTTGCGCCTCTATCGAATGTGATAATTTCTAATCTAGTCAATCTTGTATGACAGTACATCCATCTTAAAATTCACACTTTTGTGACACTCGTCTTGTGGATATGTTGGGCATTGTAGACAAATCATTCTCTCATGTACAATTGCGAGTTTTCACAACTGTTCATATACTTGCCTTTTACGTTAATAGGTTTTTTCTATCGCCTAGCATCTCATCCTCTATTTCAATCATCTTATTTAAATTTTATGTGTTACATCGTTATCAGTCATGCCCATTTTCTTGGAAGACCGAGTCTAGATATCTGAAATTTGACATTTAGGCACCATAATCCCCTCTAATATCACAATTTTTAATCAGTAATTCCTCTAGTCTCACCTTAACCTTTTTTCTTATGGAGGCTAAACTTGCAGTGCAAGTATATTCTATTTTACTTTCACTTATCTTAACACTTTCCAGATTCAAACTTGGGTTGATTCCCTAGTTCGTTTCATAAATTAACATAATATCATCTTAAATTTCATAAACTTTCGCTTTACAAATTCAGCAATGTGAAACTGGATGAAAAGGAACAACCCATGCTAATATGAGCCTGCTCAAATCATGCAAATGCAATCCTGATAAAACTTGAAAAGTAACAAATTTGTGAAACACCCTAGATCTGCTGATAACCTTGAGACCAGAAAATAACTCCACACAACAAAAAATCCACATATGGCACCTACACAGAAATATTGTTGTTGAATTGTACGTACTGCCTCATCCATAAAGCATAAATAACTAGAGCAGGAATAGTTTTATTTATTTATTTAGGTTAGCAACATGCACGTAAAATATTTCTATTGATGGGTGATAATGAGACTCTCGAGTTCAGGAACTCTGCCAGCTTCGATACCATATTGAATTGTGTGATGCGGCATCTAAAAGCTTAAGTTGCTGGAGAGAAGACAATTTTGTTCATATATTTAGGTTTGTGACAATTCCTAAACAATTAAGACAAATAAATCGTCATAAGAATAGAAAAAAAAGGAGTCTCTTCTGGACAAAATTCAATACTCCTCATGTGGTCTATAAACCAAGTTTTGCTCTAGCAAAGAAACATATCGTCAGATTTTTATTTAACAGTTTATTTTACAAATAAAAATCCTAAGAAAACCATCAATTTTACGGAAAGAAATGCTGGGCGCTTAGTCTATGTAAAAGTACTTTATAAAGGGAATCAGAAATAAATGCTGCAGAGAATCACGACAGAGGAGTATAATGGAGGAACAAAACTTAATTCCATCCCTACACATATTTCAGATCTTAAGAAGACTTAAAACAACAAGCTATAACAACTATGCTGTCTCAGCAGTGTCTACATGAATGCAGTAATCTGCAGATAAGCTAATCTGAATTTGATAAAACTTAATTTCACTTGCAGATTAGCTGTGAACCCAAAAAATTGAGCGGAAACTTACAATCTGTAATTGTAGTACATATATGGAATACATAGAAGTGACATAAACCAATGCCCTGTTATCAGATAGAGCAAGCAGAGAACTCCTTGTGTGATGAACTCCGGTAAAACAACCCCATTTATACGAGTTGCAGAGTCGTATGGGTTGATATAATCAAACTCTAGATCTGATAAGCACATCAGCTGTAACACATTTCAAATGTCAGACTTCATCTTAGAAACAGAAAAAAAAAAATAAGTTCACTGAAGTTATCACCATGATATACTCAATAGAAGGTACAGTTTATCGTGCCTACCTAACAAGAATGTAGTGTTGCTAAAAGTTTTTACAGTTTACAGTTCATATCCAAATTAGTATACTTATACAGACGCACACACATATGTATAAAAGGACATAACACTTTTCTCTTAAAACCCCAATATCTGATTTGGTATAATTTGAAGCATCCAAGCACGCAACACCTTATGCATTTGACAAGCCCCTATATGCAACACCATCACGGCCAATGTACTTTACCAAGGAGATTTTATTGAACAAGGCCAGAATCCTCATTGTCTGAATTCTACAAGAAGTTGTATCCAGCTTAATAACAGCTTACAACTGATTTGAAGCCAATGGTCCTACACATCACTTACCTCAGCAAATTCGAAAGCCTAAAAGAATTTTAATCAACATTTGCAAAAAAGTATCATCTACAGTAGATTGAGAAATCACATCAACTAACAAAAAGCTACTGCAATACGAATCTGACATTTGCATTATCAAATTAATCAAACACTAAACTTAGCTAAAACTTACATTAAAATCTAGCATAAGCTAAAAAGAAACCCTAAGTGGGTAGTTCTCTAAAAAGCCATAGAATTCGGAGGTTAAAAAGAAAAGTAAAAGAGTAAGAATTAGGAGATAGACCTGAAAAACAACCATGACAAGGAGAGAAATAAGAATGAAGAAGAAGAGGAGCCATGCCCAAACATCTGCCATACTAGTAGCTCTGCAATATTTGGTAATTAATTTGGGCCAGGTGCGTGATGCGCCCCCAGTGCTTTCTATTGGAGATTTGATTGTAAGTACTATAGAGGAAGCAACGAATCGGAGCAAAAGGCAAAGATTCCAGTTTTCAACCCGAGGAAACCGATCCACTTTGGAACCGAAGCAGATGGAGCCGGTGTTGGAAAAGAAAAAAAATCATTACACTATTCTTTAATTTTTTCAACTACTCCTATTAGATTACAAACTATTGATTTTTTAACCATACACATTGTTTTTCTTTTAATTTTTGAGAAAATTTTTAAAAACTTTTCTTTAAAACTTTGGTGATGTGTGGCTATAATTTATGGTTTAGCATATTATGTGCTTTGCATTTTACATGCTTTAATAATAAATTACACTTTATTTATGCGTAACGGAGTCTATTTTATGTGTAGGTGAATTTGAGATGAAAATAGAGCAAAAGGGATACTTAAACGTTGAAAGTGCGCTCAAGAATAGTGAAAAGGAGAGGCCAACCAAAAGCCAGCTCGACCAGGCTTTATTTTGGCGACGCTAGCCAAAGGCCAGGCTCAACCAGGCTTTAGCCTGACGACGCCAGCCTAAGGCCAGGCTGAACCATGTTTTAGCCTGGCAAGGCCAGCCAAAGGCCAGGCTGAGGCTGGCGACGCCAGGCCTAGGGCCAGGTCCATTCCGAGTTTTGAAGACTTAAATTGTTTTCCGGCTTGACTAGGATTTGACCTACACGTTTAAGGCTTGTCCTAAACATATAAATAGACCCCAAAACGCCACTTTGAAGGACTTTTGCAACCGGAGGCAAGAATAGCTCGTGGAATACTACTTGGGAGTTAGAATCATTGATTTCTACATCAAATTATCTTTACTCTGTAATTTAATTATACAAATTATTTTGGATATTGTTACTATGAGTATGAGTAGCTAAACTCTTAATCTAGGGTTTTGATGGAACCTATTGGAGGATGAATTTCTTGTTACGTTAATATAGATTTGCTATAATATTCTCTCTATTTGTTCAACTATATGCTTATTGATGTTGATTTAAGGGCCCTCAATTAACTGTTCCTATTTAGTATGTATTACTCGGGAGAGTGCATATTTAGGTAGTTGTTGAACAACATCACTCCTAACATATATGAGGGATCAATACGAAGGGTTTAAAGGTGGGAATAGGGATAACGAAACCTCGGTGCGATCTAAGTGAGATGTACTTAATGCTAGCTAGCGTAATTCAGGAGAATATGTCTAGTATATTATTGTAATTACTCGGGAGAGAGTTACGATAGTTAGAGTGCTCATGATCGATAGAGAAGACTTAGGCAAATTTATAGGAAATGTAGCGGAAAAGATTCTGACAATATGGGAAATTAGAACCTTAGATCATTCCAATTCTTGTCTACAACCCGTTCGTAGTTAGTTCTTAGTTATTGCATTTTCATTACGTAATATTTAGTTGGTAAACATCCAATGTATTACTTAAATATTTCTGAAGATTGAATACGTGAATTTGTGTGAGTTCAATAGTTGTAATTGATAGGTTAATTCCCTGTGGGATTCGATTCTGAACTTCTTAACTGGAATATATTTGCAGCGACTGCTTTGTCCTTTTTATAAGTCATAGTTGGGCGTGATCAAATTTTGGCGTCGTTGTCAGGAAATTAACGGTGTTATTAGTTGCAGCTAAAAGAAGTGCTAAAATTTTTTGCATAGTCAATTTTCTTCAATTTAAATCAAGTACATTGAAATTCTAACGTTTGTAGTCTTGGGTGTTATACGTGCATGCCTAGAAACTTCTCAAGATTTGGTAAATTGTTCGAAGCGTTATCAGATTCTGAGAAAGTTTTCAAGGCACTGAATCGTGCAAACAAGAAAGGCAAACAACAACAAAACTCAACAAAACAAATCGAACCAGACATGGGAGACGAAGTAAACAATCGAAATAATGGGAATGACCCGAATAATCAGGGTGTGGTGCCTCTTATGCCAGAAGCAGCATTATACAATTGGGTACAACCCACCACCGACAACCTAGCAACCGCAATTGCAGTACCTCAGATACAAGCAGAATCATTTCAAATCACAAATAACATGCTACATTTGTTGCAGAACAAGGGACTGTTCTCAGGGTCATACGTTGAAGATCCTCAGCAGCATCTGAAGAATTTTATGTCGATATGTGCCATGCAAAGGCAACATAATGTGACACCGAAAGCAATACGGCTGTTGTTGTTTCCACTCTCAGTGACGGGAGCGGCTCAGACTTGGCTTAATTCGCTGCCCATAAACTCTATCACTAGTTAGGAGGAATTAGTCAAGCAATTTGTGAACAAATTCTACCCAACCAATAAGACTGCTTAACAAATTGATAAGATATTGAGCTTCAAATAGAAATCAACAGAGACATTACAAGAAACGTGGGAAAGGTTGAAGGGTCTGCTAGTTACGTGTCCACATCATGGCATTCCGGAGAAGATGTTGGGGCAGAGGTTTTACATGGGATTGGCAGATAACTTGAAGGCCAATGTTGATGCTTCAGCAAGTGGAGCATTTTTGAGCAAAACATTCAGAGAAAGCAAGATCCTACTTGGCAAGATGGCCCAAAACTCAGGATGGATGACAAGAAACTCTCCAATCACTCATGTAGATCACTTAGTGGCTTTAAACCCAACTAACTCCATAGCTGAAAATATGGCCACTCTAGTGACACAAATGAGTATCCTCACGAAAAAGATTGATGAATCAGGCCAGAAGCAGCAGGTACACATAGTTGATGCAACTAATGGGGGCTTATGTACATCATGCATTAACCAACTATATGTTTGCTCGTGGAGTGCGGAAGGTGATAACCAGCAATATCAGGAAAATATGAACTATGTGGCCAATTATGGGGGACGAGGCAAGGTGGTCAGAATTGGGGTCAGTAGAATCAACAATATAGACCAGCTCAGCAGCAGTACAATAACAACAACAACAATCTTGGGGCTATGCGACCACAGGGTCAAGTGGTGCCTTACCAAAGGCAACAGGGTTATAACCAGCAAAATCAGCAACTAGATTATCAACAACCTCAAAACAACAGATTATGAAATAAGATGATGGGTTTGCTAAACTTGAGGGAATGCTGAATAACAACAACAGAATGCTGCAACAACTGATCGGGACCACCGGAAAATTAACAGAGAGAGTAGACTCACATGAATTAGTAATAAAGGGTATTGAGGTAAAATTAGGACAGATTTCAATTGCTTTAAATAGTCGTCCCCAAGGGACGTTACCTGCAGATACTCAAATTAATCTAAAAGAGCAGGGCCCAAAACAGCTTATGGCAGTGAGTCTACAAAATGGTAGAGACCTAGATCTAGAGCAAGAAATTGCTCGTGAAAGCAGACCTACTGAGACACCGGTGCCAGTACCCATTGAGATAGATAATTCAGTAGGGTTAACTGAGGTGATGGTACAACATGTACAAGAGAACGCCAGTAAAGAAAAAGAGGTTGTGAAAGATACTGAGGTAGTACAACAAAATGATAGTAGAATCCTGAACAAGAAAAAAATCAAATCATAGGGAAGAAGCGACCTCCAACACCATTCCCATATAGATTGGCCAAGTATCAGAAAGATGAGCAGTACAAGAAATTCTTGGAGATGTTGAAGCAAATTCAGGTAAACATTCCATTGATTGACGTTTTAAAGGAGATGCCTGGTTATGCAAAAATAATGAAGGAATTGATGTCCCACAAGTTCGACTTTCAAGACTTGGCAACGGTTACACTGACTCAGACTTGCAGTGTTGCTGTGACGAGACCCATAGCTGAGAATCTGCCTGACCCAGGGAGTTTCACAATCCCATACACAATAGGCAACTATGCATTTGCTAAGGCACTGTGTGATCTGGGGGCAATCATAAACCTTATGCCCCTGGCTGTCTACAAAAGGCTAGGCATTGGAAGAGCTAGACTCACGTCCATGTTACTACAGCTGGTTGACCGAACAGTGAAGAGGCCCTCTCGTATTCTTGATGATGTATTAGTACAGGTTGGGAAGTTTGTGTTCCCAGCAGATTTTGTCATTCTTGACTGTCAGGTTGACAAGGAAATTCCCATAATTTTGGGAAGACCATTCTTGACCACTAGGAGAGCTTTAATTGGCTGTGAAACTGGAGAGCTCAAAATAATATTAAATAATGAAGAGATAACATTCAACGTGCAGAAATCTATACGGAGACCAAGTGAATTTGCTAATTACTCTCTAATAGATGTCGTGGATGTAATTTTGGAGGAGGAAGATGAGACATTGAACATTAAAGACCCTATAGCAGCCTGTCACACGAACTTGGATGAAGCCAATAGAGAAGACTTGGCGGAGTGGGTACTTGCTCTTGAAGGCCAAGGTTTTGGAGAAGGGAGCTCGAGTTTGAGCCTTTGCACTTAGAGGAAAGAAAAACTCCTCTAGCTAAGCCATCAATAGAAGAGCCACCAAAGTTGGAATTGAAGCCACTACCACCTCATCTCAGGTATGCCTTCTTAGGACCTAAATCAACTTTACCTGTTATTATCTCATCTAGTTTGTTAGATGTGCAGGCAGAACAACTTTTGCAGGTACTAACGGAGTACAAGACTGCAATTGGTTGGACCATTGCATTATGGGTATCAGCCCGGCCTTCTGTATGCATAAGATTTTACTGGAAGATAGGCACAAACCTTCTAGAGAACATCAAAGAAGGATGAGCCCCAACATGAAAGATGTGGTGAAGAAAGAAGTGATCAAGTGGTTAGATGGGGGGATCATATTCCCCATCTCTGATAGCAACTAGGTCAGTCCAGTTCAGTGTGTGCCAAAAAAGGGAGGTATGATGGTAGTGAAAAATGAGAAGAATGAATTGATCTCCACACGAACAGTCACAAGTTGGCGAATTTGTATGGATTACAGGAAGTTGAACTAGCTACCCGAAAAGACCATTTCCTATTGCCATTCATTGATCAGATGCTGGATAGATTGGCAGGGAGGTCCCACTTTTGCTTTCTGGATGGGTACTCGGGGTATAATTAGATCTCTATTGCCCTAGAGGACAGAGAGAAAACATCGTTCACCTGCCCTTAAGGAATCTATGCTTTTTGCAGAATGTCGTTTGGCCTATGCAACACACCTGCCACATTCCAAAGGTGCATGATGGCCATCTTCATGGATATGGTAGAAGAAATAATGGAGGTTTTCATGGATGACTTCTCAGTGGTGGGGAACTCATTCGATGATTGCCTTATGAACTTGAGAAGAGTATTGAAGAGGTGTATCGAGACGAATCTGGTACTCAACTGGGAAATGTGCCATTTCATGGTACAGGAAGGTATAGTCTTGGGGTACCTAGTGTCGAGTAAAGGCATTGAGGTAGATCGTGCAAAGGTTATTGTGATAGAAAAGCTTCCACCACCCACTTCCGTCAAAGCAACCAGAAGTTTCCTTGGGCACGCCGGTTTCTATAGGAGATTTATAAAATATTTTTTCAAAATTGCTAACCCCTTATGTAAATTGCTTAAAAAAAATCACCCTTTTGTGTTTTCTGATGACTACAAGGTAGCATTTGAGGAATTAAAGAAGAGACTCATAACATCACCTATCACAGTCGGCCCTGACTGGGAGCAACCATTTGAGCTGATGTGTGATGCGGGTGACTATGCTGTGGGAGCAGTTCTTGGGCAGCAAAAAGACAAAGTCATATGCAAGTAGAACTCTGACTGGTGCCCATCTAAATTACATAGTGATCGAGAAGGAGATGCTAGCAGTGGTGTTCTTATTTGACAAATTTAGGTCATGCCTGATAGGTTCGAAGGTAATTGTTTATACTGACCATGCTTCTCTCAGGTACTTAATCGAGAAGAAGGAGTCAAAATCGCGCCTGATTCGATGTGTGCTACTGCTGCAAGAATTTGATTTGGAAATCCGTGACCGAAATGAAACGGAGAACCAAGTAGCTAATCACTTGTCTAGGATGGAAGGAGCTAAGAAGAAGGTTGAGGTAGAAGAGATTTTGAAAACTTTCCCAGATGAACAACTATTAGCCACAAGTTTTGAGGAAGCGTCATGGTATACAGACATTGCAAACTACCTGGCGAGCTGTATTGTTCCTTATGACCTTTCCTCTGTCCAAAAGAAAAATTTCTTTCGCGATTGTCACATGTATTATTGGGATGAGCCTCATCTGTTCAGGATTTGTATTGATAACATGATCCGGAGATATATCCCCGAGATAGACCAGTTTTCTATTTTGCAGGCATGTCATGCATCACCATATGGTGGGCATTTCAGGGAAGTAAGGATAGCTGATAAAATCTTGGAGTTGGACTTCAACTGGCCAACATTGTCCAAAGATGCATATTTATGGATAAAGGGTTGTGATGAATTCCAACGAATCGGGAATATTTCCCGCCGACATGAGATGCCTATGAACCCAATTCAGGAGTTAGAAGTGTTTGATGTATGGGGAATCGATTTCAAGGGGCCTTTCGTCAGCTTATATGGCAACAAGTACATACTCGTCGCTGTGGACTACGTGTCTAAATGGGTAGAGGCTGCATCGCTCCCTACAAATGATGCAAAAGGGGCTAATTGGTTTTTTGAGAAAGAACATATTCACCCAATTTGGCATTCCAAGGGCAATAATCAGTGACGGAGGCACTCACTTTTGTAATCGAGCCTTCGTAAAGTTGTTAGAGAATTATGATGTACGCCACAAGGTTGCCACCTCATATCATCCACAAACGAGTGAGCAAGTGGAAGTTTCGAACATAGAGATAAAAAGAGTGTTGACTAAGACTGTTAATGCTACTAGAATGGATTGGGCGAGAAAGTTAGATGATGCACCATGGGCTTATCGAACCGCTTTCAAAACTTCGATCGGCATGTCGCTATACAAGTTGGTATTTGGGAAGGCGTGTCACTTACCAGTGGAGTTGGATCATAGAGCTTTGTGGGCATTGAGGCAGTTGAATCTCGATATTTAAGCTGCGGGAACAAGTAGAGCCACTGAGTTGCACGAGCTTGATGAGTTTCGATATCACGCTTTTGAGAGTACAAGATTATACAAGGAGAGAATGAAGATGATACATGATAAAAATATTATTGAGCAGAGTCTTAAACCCAGAGATATTGTATTGCTATACAACTCAAGACTGAGGTTATTTCTGAGCAAATTAAAGTCAAGATGGTCAGGACCATTTAGTGTGGTTGAAATTCACCCCAATGGTGCCGTAGAGATTGCTGCGAAAAATGCTCTCGCAAATTCAGAGTCAATGGGCATAGATCAAAACATTATGTGGGCATGGATGAAGCAAAGGTAGTGTCAATGATCCATTTGATCGAGCCTCCGATATTGAGCATACCTTAAATGCGCTTACCGCATCATGCCGCAACGTTAAATTAGGCGCTACATAGGTGGCAATCCATTGGACTGTTGTATTCATCGTTTAACTAAGGCGCTTGTTGGGAGGCAACCCAATTTGTAGTTGATTTTTAGTGTAGTCAAAATTTTTCTTTTTGTTTTTAGGTACTAACAAGTTTGCAGGTGAGTTTGGGCGAGTTGAGCAAGGTTTAAGCGTCACTTGAAGTACACCAGGCTCTGGGGCTGGCGAAGCCAGGATAGAGCCTGGATCAACCAGGCCTTAGGCTGGCGATGCTTGGCTAATGTAGGTTCAATCAGGCCTTAGGCTGGCGACTCCTGGCTAATGTCAGGGTCCACCAGGCCTTAGGCTGGTGACGCCTGGCTAATGGCAGGTAAGTATTTCGGCCACTTTATGTTTTTTCTCCTTATTTTAGTCGAATTTAACCTCAAATACACGCCCTAAAACACTGAACACAATATAAATCAACCCCTAACCTCACTTAAACCAATACACATAAAGCTCTACAAGAAAATTCACAAGAACACAAACACACTGAAAGAATTGCTTGCTCACCCACACACAATCACCAGCACATTGCCATAGTTGTCTTTTCCACCCCCACTGAAGTCAAGCTTAGTCTTGCTAGTCTTTTACACTCATCTAAAATTCTTAGGCAGCTCCCTCCTCACAAAAGCTTCAAAGGTATGATTTGATCTCTCTCATTTGTAATTTTGAGTTGGGTACATGTATTGAGTTGGTGGTTGTTTTTTATTGTTGGTGTTTGTTCTTCATTGTAGTATTGAGTTTGTGTGCCCCAATCCCATGAACCCCCAAAGGAATGGTGCTGCGATAGTGAAAATATGCGGTAGTACGGAACCCCTAAGCCGATTAGGGAGGATGAGCCAATCCCTCATTTCCATAAGAACTTACATGGCACTAGTGCTTGTTAAGTGTTTGATATAATGCCTCAATGGCATTCCTCGTTCCCTTTGGAGCCCGAGTCTCCGAGATTAATAAAAGAGTGTTATGTAGTCGTGCACCACATTAAAATCTTAATTGTGGGGTGGCTCACGGGTAGCCCATGTGTTATGGTTTGATTCTAATGTTAAGAAAATACGAGGTGAAATATGAGTAACATTGGCAAGTTGGGGAAGATTGTGTGTGTAGTGTGTAATGCAGCGTTATCTGACTACTGCTTATTTGTGTAGGAACGAAGATGCCTCCCAAAAAAGACACAGGCAAAGGAAAGGCCACTTCAACTGCCCAAGATAAAGCAAAGGCGACCTCTGCACCTCCTCCAAGGAAAAGAAAGGGGGAGAAACTACCTCTAGTCTGAGTGGCATGCAAGCTATGGCAGTCCACAAACCCAAGGCCAATGGGAGTTTGGCATAAACAACATACCTCCACATACGAGGGATTGGTACAGGCGTTGTAGGCCTAAACATGCCCATCCGGAGGGAGCTATCCAGGAATGCAGCGTGAAAGCGAAATATCCGGCGATTTGGAAAGACATCTAGGATTTGGGGTTAAGCTATGTTTTTAAGAACAGAGGGGACATCAATCTCAACCTAGTCAGGGAATTCTATGCGGGGTTTAACCCACAGTACACTGAGGAGCTGGTGCCAATTTGTGGATGCTTGATTGATTTTTCAGCCAAGGCCATATGCGACTTTTTATGTACGCCAAATGTTCATGTGGAGCCACTGAACCAATTTATTCGCTGACCTACATATAGAGAGTTGAGGCACACACTCTGTGGGGTCGACTCTACTACTGCATAGGTTCGGGACAAGGTAACAAACTGTCACAAGAGGTTCCCTAAGAAGAAGATAAAGACGGATGCTCAGGTATGGCTTAAGTTGATAAACGCACGGCTCCTACCGTGCAATCATGGCACGCTTGTGAGCCGTGAGAGGACCTATGTGCTATACTTTTTTATGACTGGGCAGAGGGTGAATGTGGGTCATCTGATCCGCTACCAGATGTCAGCAGTGAGAACTAGTAAGAAAATTGATCGAATGCCATTTCCTACAACACAAGGGGGTTGAGGAGGAG